TTAGCAAAGCTCTGAGCAATAGGGTGCTCCTGCCTGGGCACCCCAGCACAAGCCACCCGAGCCCAGTGACCGGCCAGGCTCCATTTTGACATCTCCTCTGCAGACATCTTGTCATCCCTTCAGCCAAGCCCTACTTAACCCCAACAAGTCTTGTCTTGCCTTCACCTGCAGAGACACCTCCCTTCTCCTCAGCAGGGCCCTGAATAGGTGCTTGTGCATGGGCAAGTGGTCCCCAGCAGGGCCACCAAGCCAAGCCTGAAGGCCATGAGGGTCACCACTGGCACAGATGATGCTACACCCACCAGCAGGTTGCCCCTATTGGCACTGATAAGGTCTTCTGCCCTATTAGTGCCAATAGGGACTGATCAAGGGATAACATATGATCCCAGAGGGATGTGGTGTCCCATGTGTGGGCAGAAGCTCTCCCTGGTGCCACCAAAGAGCACCTCCTTGCATTTATCCACAGCCACCCCCTCAGCCTGGTCTGACACACTCTCGCTGGTATGACACTTGTCCTGACCCTGTAACAAACACCAGCCTGGCCCAGGTGGCCTTTGGGGAGGCTGTCATCCTGCTAATGCTCACCCCAGTGCTACCCACAGCTCCTGGTACCACCACCCAGGCGCAGCCCCCAGTCCTGACTGGCACTGCTACACCCCTGGGAACTTCCTATGCAATATGGGATCAGGGGACCCTGTGTGATACCCGAGGTGTCACACACACCCACACACAACCACACACACACACACACACACACACACACACACACAGGGTTCAAGCCCCTCTCCTTTGCCCTGCAAACCCGGTTAGACAGCAGCCTGGCCTCCCCCTTCCCCCAGAGCCCCTGTAGCCGGCACCCGGGAGCGGGAGGCGGCCAATGCCGGCAGACGGGAAATGGCACCGGGAAAGCGGGGAGGAGGAGGGGAGCGGCAGAGAAGTTCCTGAAGTTTTCTGTCCTGGATAGTTGGAATAAATCTCATTTTCTCTGGTCTCCCTGCCGAGGCGAGGATTGGCTCGGCAGTGCTGCAGCCCGCCCTCCTCCTTCCCACGTCCCCTCCCCGCCAGCTTCGCTCCCTCTCTCCCGTGGCATCAGGGCGTCAGCCTGGGAGAGCCAGCCTTGGGGGACAGCCGTGGGAAAAGGAGGGGACAATGCCTCCCCTTTCCCCGCCACTGCATCCCGGAGCGCAGCACCGGTAATCCTTGGAACAAGTTACAGGGGCCTGCCGAGAGTCTCTCGCAACTTTTCGTCTGGAGACCGGGAAAAAAATAATAACCCTGGTTCGAAAGAGGTAAATCCTGAAAGTTTTTGGTTCGTCAGTTTGTAGAGCTGGGGGCAGGGGCGTGTTGGGACCAGAAGGAAAAGGGGGGAAGAGGGTGTTTGGACTGGGGAGAAGCGGGAGGGGTGGCAAGGCGATAGAGACGGGAAGGATGGTAAAAATAAAGGGAGCAGAAAGCAGGAATGCAACAGGAAACTGGGAGTGAGGAGAGGGGACACGGGACGGGGGGAGAGGCGGGAAGGAAAGGGAGTGAGAAGAGGGTCCCACGGATGGGGGAAGGCAGGAGGACGCTTGTTTCCCAAACCTTGCTCCGATACCCCTCAAAGCCCCACAGGCTCTCGGCACCTCAATTTTAGGGGTATGGAGGAAGAAAGGGAACACTTTTTCACAAGTGGGCAGGGAAGGGATGGCTAGAAACTGCCCATCTCCATAGCTCCAGCCTCCCTCTGTGTCCTAGAACGTCTGCTTGGAAAATATCCTTGTTATACAGAGATATGACTATGTGTATATATAGCAGCCAGCAACACAGGAGTCAGATTTAGGCGTCTGCCTACTGCCCGGCACGGCTCCAGGGAAGCTGAGGGAGGCCCAGCCCAGCCAGCCAAGCCCCTTTCCCCCTTCCCCAAGAGCCTGTCCCTGCTGGCTTTCCTCATCCCAAAGCAGTCACCCAACAGGGGAACTCTGCCTCCCTTCCTTCGGGAAAAGGGAGGTTTTTCATCACTCAGGAAGGCTGGGAAAGCCTTCCTGGCCACCCACTGCCATTTCCACCCGCTCTTCCTCCTGTTGAGACCACCCCAAATTTCTTTTGCAGTATGTCCCCTTTGGGGGAGGGAAGAGGCTGCTTTCAGCAGCTCTATCCAGCTAGACATCTGGATTATTTTCCCCTCCTTTCTGGTTTCCGCTCTTCCCAGCAAGCAGAACAGCGCTGGCCATTCCCAGCTAGTGGAAAACCAGTGGTAACCAGCTGAACTCGGGGGGGAACAGGCTGGGAGGAGGAGGAGGAGTGCTGGCAGTGGTCTTTGAAGGCAGGGGGCTTCCCAGAGGAGGCAAGAAGGGAGCCAGAGGGAGTATGCCAGGGAAGGGGAAGCCATGGTGGGCTGTGGGCTTGGCTTGCCAGGAGCTGGCAAACACCAAGGGCTGCCAGATGGAAGCAGTGGCACCCAGACAGAGAGAGGGCCAGGCAGAGGGTCCCTTTGCCCAGTGGAGGAAAGGACAGCACTCAGGTCACCCTTTGCCCACAGAATCACGAGTTCCCCTGGCCTGGAGGAGTCTGTTCGGGTGAAGGGGAGGGCTCAGAGGGGGCAGGGAGCCACACCAGGGGCAGAAGGAAAGAAAAGAAGGAGGGAGAATGGAAGGAGGAAAAGCCCAACAGGCCTGCCAGAAACCTGCCATCCAGGTAGGGCTGGGCACCAGCTGCTTCACTCCCTCCCTCCCTCTCTCCCTCCCTCCTCTTCCCAGCACTTGCTGCCTGCCAGCAGGCAAGGAGAGCCAGGGGCCAGGAGTTGCTGGCTTGCTTCCCTGTGGTGACCAAGGGACAAGGAGGGAGAAACACTTTCTTTCACCCCACTCCCTCACTCAATAGTTGTCCAGATAGGGAGCAACGGGATGCTCTCCTCCCTGTTCCTTGCCTCCCCACCCCAAGGTGTGATGTCCCCCATAGAGGGGTGCAGGGCAGCTGTATTGTGGGGCGATCTGGGGTGGGGGCAGTACATACTAAAGGGGACAGTCCCCACTTTGGGTTTCTCAGGGGCTCCAACCTGCAGAGGAAGGGAAAAACTTGAGTGCTGTAGCTCACCTAATCCCCTCTGCCAGAGTCACGTGCTTTCCTTGGGAGATCCTGGGGACAGCTCAAAAATATGGCTGCATCTCTCTCCCTGTGCTCCCAAGACCCCAGGTGTGCTGCAGGTACCACCCCATTAGTTTCCTTTGCACTCCAGGGGAGCCCTGACCCAATGGCTGTGGGTGGGCTTTCACCACAGAAAGGAAATAGCTCCCCAGTTATGCCCTTACCCCAAAACTGCCACGTGCCTGGTTTGCTGCAAGGCAGCACTGCATGGTGTCTGTGGGCAAGAGGAAGACATGAACTGCAGGACCTGGGGGCCAGCAGGAACCCAACCTGCCACCACTCTGTCCCTGCTGCCACCAGCCACTGCCACCCCAGGAGGCCACTGCCACCCTGGGAGGCAGCCAATGGTGCTGGGCACTGCTGGGGGAGGTTTGTTTTCCCTTCCCCAGTCATTAACCCCGGGCAGATAAGAGAGGCCCCGGGTGAGCAAACAGGGCCAGGGCAAAGCAAAAATGCATCTAGCCAGCCAGGAAAGCAATTTCATGTCCAGGATCCCCTTCTCCAGAGCCTTTGCCGTCCTGGCACTGCCTGGCTGCTCCAAGGCGATGCACGGACAAGCAGGAGAGGCAGGGAACGTGGCAGGGAAAGCCGTGCAGCACTGGGGGACCCAGCACACGGAGATAAGAGATGCGGCTCCTGCGTCACTGCTTGGCGTGCTGTCCTCCACAGCCAGCCCTGCTGCAGGGACTCAGCTCTGTCTTGATGTTCCAACCACACAACTGAGCCCAGGGAAGGATGCGTCCCCAGCTGGCTTCCCAGGCCACCAACACTCTGAGATGTCCCAAATCCTCTCCTTTCCCCAGCCCACCCTCTCCCACTTGCTATGCACACCAGCAGGGGATCTGCTGATCTGACAGTCCTCCCCACTGACTGGGAGGTCATCACCCTGCCGTGCATCCAGTGCATCCAGCTGCTGCTTCCTGCCTGCCCCTCACTGCCTCTGGGACCTGCCTGAGTGCAGGGACCCATCCCACCTTCTCCTCCAGCCTCAGGCAATCACCTCCCTTGCCATGCCTCAGTTTCCTCTGTCTGCAGAGCAGCTGCCCTCCCCACACTGCCGACTCCCTGCTTCTCCAACATGTCTGCCCAGCTCCCAGGGACTCAGCCAGTGAAGGACAAACAAAGCAATATACAAATACTGCATTTTTGCTTCCCACCACTCCTCCCGAGAAGCACATGAGCCCCAGGCCTCACCCTCTCCTCAAGGGTTCATCTGAATAGCAAAAAGGAGGGAGAGGTTTCTCGCCCCAGGAGCTGGGGCAGCCAAGCAGGGCATTGCTCTGGGAGGAGGTTCTGCCTCGGAGGGAAATCCTCAGCCTGTGTTGTGGCGAGGGTCTGGCAAAGCTGCTTTGAAGACGGGAAACTAAGGCATACTGAGGTAGGTCAGCAAGGTGATGGAGAGCACATGTTTTTGGAGGAAAGCCTTTTTCTTCCTCCCCAGGAGAAGGGCCAGATAAAGGGGCTGCCAGTAGCAAGCTCGCCACTGCCTTATGCACCGCCTTTAACCTCCTCAGGCAGTTCAATGGGATTGGGAACATCCTGTCCAAGGCTTTCACTGTTCCTCTTGCCTTGTTTAGGTGGCCAACAAGGGGACCAGTGCTCTTGCCCTGCCAGTCCCCCTGAAGCTCCCTTTGCTGCCTGATGCCCTATCCATGACTGGCTCCCACTCACCCAGCGAGAGTAGAAGACAGCAGATTAACCTCTAAGTCTACAACCAGACACAGTCTCCAGTGACCTCCACAGAACAGGGGGTGACCCAGACACCCCCTGGGGACATCTGCGTGCCACCACTGGGGACGTACCCTCTGAGGGTGATTTCATGAGCACGACGTAGCGCAGGGAAGCAGGAAACCTGCCGAGAGATAAAGTGCCATGCAGCGTCACCCCAAGAGCATCGGAGCAGAAGCCATGGGGAGGCTGGGGATGTGACAGAGCACCCCGGTGCCGGAAGCCTGGTGAGGGCTGATTTTTGGAGCTTTTTCAAAGGCAGGCTGAAGGGTGCAACATGAGCCTGGGGAAGCTGCCGGTGCTGAGCTGGGTGTCAGGCTCCCACGGCAAGCGGCGGCTGAAGTCGGAGCTGACGCCGGACATGATCAGCCCGCCGCTGGGCGACTTCCGGCACACCATGCACGTGGGGCGCGGCGGCGACGTCTTCGGGGACACCTCCTTCCTCAGCAACCACGGTGGGGCTGACGCCGCCAAGCCCAACAGCTTCCTGGCGCGGACGCTGCGGCACGTGCGCCGCAGCCCGCTGAAGAGACGGGGCAGCGGGGGCCAGGTGGGCGCCTCGCCCGCGCCCCCCGCCGTCTCGCCCATCATCAAGAACGCCGTCTCGCTGCCGCAGCTCAACGAGGCCATGTATGATGGAGACAGCACCAGCAGGGGCTTGACCAGCAAGTTCTCCTTCAAAAGTGCCTCCAACAGCTTCTCCAAAACACACCAGGCCTACGGTGAGTGCAGCGCGAGGCCCAGGCTGGTGCCTTGGTACTGAGCACCCTCTGCAGCCCTTCTCCATTGCTCCATGCCTCAGTTCCCTCCACAGTGAGGAACTTGGGGTTTTAAGGAGAAATGGGATATTTGAGATCACCCGGTCTTGACAATCCCTCCAAGCAGATAATCCTAACCTTCCTCCTGCCCTTGGAAGGTCTCCTTCTAGGGTGTCCCTCAAAGCGCGGCAGGGATGGTTTCTCTGTTTCTGCCCCTCTCCTGCAGCGCCACACAGCTGGCAGCCTGTGTGCAGTACCTGTAAGGGAGCACCCCCCATCTACCTTTTCACTTGAGCAGCCTCCCTGAGGAAGCCAAAAAGGTGCTGGGACAGTGCAGCAATTCCCACTCCAAAGCAGTGAGGTCAAGGGGACCCACAGCATGGTCTTCCCCACCTCCACACAGATGCTCCAATCCTGTCCCTAGCTGTGCCAGCCTCTACATCTCCATATGCTGCTCCTTAGGGATTCCATCCACCCTTCTTCACCGTGTCCACATCCCTCCCTGCCAGCCAGGGTGCCCTTTGGGGAAGGGTTGTGGGAAGGACAGGGCAGGACATCTGTATGGCTCCTCTCCAGCCTCACTGCACTGGGCTGTGCTCAGCTTTTCCCCAGGGAGGGAGGTCTGGAGCAGAAGGTCTCAGGGTGGGGGTTGGATCAGGGGTGCCTGCAGCAGCCGGGGCAGGAGGCCGGGCTCAGAGGAAAAGGCAGGCTGAGGCAATGCTGCCATCTCCTGGTCTCACCTGCCTGGCTCAGCCCCACTGCCAGCTTACCGAGCCCAGAGCCCACCTGGAGAGACCCTCTGCTGTAACTCCGGGCTTTGGAGATGTCCACAGAGACACTGACCTGTCCTTTAGAGGCCAGTGCCACTGACAGGAGCATGGCCTGAGCCACTTTGTCAGCAGTGTCCCTTTTCCCCTGCAGAACTAAGTCAGGCTTGCTCCCTCACCAGCCATACCTTCTGCCTCACAGGTCTGGAGTCCGGATTTTGTACCATCCCTCGTGTCCCTCGTTTGGAAAAGGCCCAAGAGAGCACCTGTCCTGGGGAGGACGAGCTGGATCGCTCCGACTCCCTGCTGTCCTTCCGCCTCGACCTGGGGCCCTCCCTGATGAGCGAGCTCCTCCAGGTGATGAGCTTCTCTGAAACCAATGGCAACGAGGTGGGGGAGGATGGCCCACACCTCCTGTGTGAAGAGGGGACCAAGGACAGGGTCCCTCCAGCAGTGCCTGCATCCCATGAAGAGGACAAGGCAGCATCCAGCTTCTGGGACCACTCCAGGCAGAGCAACGTGTCAGGGGCCAGCTCACTGCCCGGCCTGTCGGTCCATGCCAACGGAGAGGCACGTGCCATCGAAGGCGCTGGAGCGAACTCTGTCTGGGCTTCGGGGCCAGGGCCAGTGTCCACAGGGTCCCCGTGGCAGGGCCACTGGAACGACTGCACCATTGAGGCTGGAGAATTTGACCGAGCAGCCCAGGTCCTGGCCCGCCATTACGGTGGGACCAGCACCCCGCGGAGCCCGGAGAAGGGTGAGGGTCCCCGGCAGGCCCGGACACAGACCCCGTGGGAGAGCCCCAGCAGCAGCAGCCTGTGGGGGTCACGAGTGACAAGGGAGAGCCACTCCCCCGAGGCCAGCTGGAACCAAGGAGAGGAGGAGGAGGACGAGACCAAGCTCTCCAGCCTGCAGGAAAGCCACAGCGGTGCCCGAGGGGGCCGCAGCAATTCCTTCGAGTATGCCGATGCGGAGGAGGAAGAGGACGATGAAGTCAAGGTGTGAACAGCCATCCCGCCCATCACAGGCCCCAGCAGAGACACTGGTGCCAATGTCTTTGCCCTCCTCCCTGTGCCCCACCCGCCGGTGCCGGTGTCACCAGCAGGCCCAGTGGGTGACCTGCTTGCCAAGTGGGGGCACTGGGCAGGCCGGGGAGGGCAGGAGAAGAGCCCATCTCCTGGGGAGCTCCCTGGGGCTGGGCCAGTGGGCTCCACAGCCAGGCATAGCACCCCTCCTCCAGCCTCACGGCCCCTAGACATCAAAGGAACAGCCCCATATGCCAAAGGAACCCTGAATCCTTCCTACCCCATCCCATTCTCCCCAGCACCCCCTCTCTCAAGCCCCAACCTGGCTCCATCAGCATGTCTGGGGACATACTTCATGCTTCCACTGATGTCCCCAGCCCTCCTCTGCAATGGTGTGCCTCCCCAGAGGTATTCCCACTGATGGCTCTGGCACGAAGGGGATGGGGTTTCCCCAGCTCCAGCTGGTGTAAGACCCTTCAGAACAGCCCTTCTGTCAACAGGGGAAGGTCAGCTGGGGTCCCAAGGGACAGGCAAACCCCACAGAGCTGAGCTTTCTCTTTTCCCCTGCCTCCCTCAAAAAGCTGTGTCCTCGGTGTTCAGGAGGTGAGAGCATGCACAGAAATAATCAGGAAAGTTTCCATTTGCCTCCTGCTGCTGAGCATCACTTAGGACAGCTTCCTTCCTTACCCCCACTCCCCTCAGCAATTGAGAGGGGAGAAACTTCTTGGCTGACTGGTGGCAAAGGCAGGTTGTGTCAGGTCACCAAATTCTGCAGTTCAGGCCCTAAAAATCCCTTCTTTTCCCCCTGCCTCAGAACAAGGAGACTCCTCTGCAGCCACTTGGTTCGTGCCACCATCCTCGTGGTGGTGGTGGTGGCACAGTTTGTGTCTCCATCCTGTCCCCTGCTCATTCCCCACACACACCCCTCTTTGCAGCGCACCCTCCCTAAGGGTGGCGTGGAGCATGGCTGCTGTCCCCTGCCGGGTGGCCCTGGGTGACACAGCTGCCCTGGAATGAGCTGTCCCCACGCTGGCCCGTGTGCAGATTGGCCCTCACAGAAGCGCCTTTGTGCCACGGTGTGGAGCCAACATGCTCGGGGGCTGAGGTCACTGGGGGGACCCTCACAGGACCCCCCTTGTTCTCTGGGACAGCAGGGCGTGTGCAGTGGGAGGAGATGCTGGGCCATGGCTGCAGGACTCTGCTCCCACGCATCTCTCCCGCCACCCGGCTGCTTTTGCCAGGAAGCTCTTCAGAGCAGGATAAAGAGCTTCAGGATGCACGTGCAAGTGCCACTTGCAGCCAGGCCACCAAGGTTAAGGACAAGCCCATGTGCCTCAGCCTCCCCAAGGGGCTGTCTCATGCCAGCCACCAGCAGCAAACCAGGGCAGGCACCAGCTTCAGGAAGTCCCCAGGCCTGGCCACTGGCAGCCAGCAGGATCAGCCTTATTCTCCCTTGCACCTTCCAGGGTGGGGACCTGGGCAGTCAGGATGTGCTCCCCTCTGCCCTCTGCTTCCCAGACCATAACACAAGACCAAAGATCCATATCTGTGGAATTATCCTTTCTGCCTCTCCTCTGTATCCCATGCACTTATTATTGACCTTATTAAAACAGTTTTGATACTAACCTCTGGTGCGTCCCCTTGGCTGCTGTGACCTTATTGTCTTCCTTGCCATGTCTGCTGGAGCCCCAGCCACCAATCTTTGGCAGTGAGGAAGTGGAGAGGGAGGGCAAGGGCACTGTCATCTTGCCTTGGACCAGGGTCTTTGTAAGATGCTCTTCTACTCTGCTGTCCTCCCACCCAGCCTGAAGTGTCCCAATGTTTGCTGTCACACATCAGTCTCACTTTTGAGTTGGCAAGGTACTTTAGAATTAGAGCAGCAGCATGTAATAATTGGGACTAATTGCCTGTAGTCCTGTGCTAGGAGGCCAAATCCCACTGCCTCATTTTTGATGAGTAGGATCTGCTGTGGAAATGTCAGAGTAATGGCTAACCTGACTGGAATGTGCCAGCAGATAAGTGAGGTGAGGTAGAAGGGAAAGTTGGAGACAATTCCTTATCTATGGCAGGAATGTTGGCTGGGGGCACACCTGTGCTGTCATCCCCATGCCACCTTTAAATGATGCACTTTTGTAGCACCTAATGCCACATCAAATGCCACTTCATTTACATTTATGCCTTCCTTCCCAATTCACCATCCCCCCTTCCCAAAAGCTTGGCTGCAGGAAGTAATGGAGCTTTGTGAAAAAATTACACAACCGTTTCCCCAGCAATCATTTGGTGTCCTCATCCCGGACCCCACCTACAGCCTGCTTTGGCCTACCTACCATCCCTTCAAGCCCACAGCCTGTTCTGACCTGGAAGGTACCTGGCATTATCCAACAATGGCTTCTTTCCTATTGGTGGGAGAACCTTGGGTTTGGTCAGTGGCTTGCACAGAGACACAGAGCTCTCACAGAAGACCAAGCAGCTGGAACAGCCAGCCTTCCACTGGCTTGGGTTTTATTAGAGCCAGGAAGCAGCGCCCATCAGGTGAGCTTGAAGGAGATGACCTTCAGTCCCCCCACAACGCTTACGTAGCTGATGTTGCGGTAGCCGTGCCGGTTGGGGAAGCACACCTCATGGCCATCGGGCAGCTTCACACGGAACTTGTCCGACAGCATTTCAATGAAGAACTGGGGGGAAAAGAGAAAGAAGGGCAGGAATTGGGAGCAAAGAGGGTATTCAGAGGTCAGCATTTAGGCAAAAGGCCTGACTACATAAGAGGGTCACACCTGTCCACTACAACCTTAAGCAAGGTGCTGGGGGTTGAGGTGAGGGTGATTCAGGAAATGAGCAGTTGCTATCAAGGGTCTAAGCAGGAATACAGACTATGACTGGGGACAGGATCTCTCCCAAGGCTGTTTCAGCTACTCAGACTGTAAACTCACAGCAGCTAAACCCAGGTATGCCTTTACATGTATTCACAGAGCATATGGAAGGTGTACAACCACTGTTCTGAATAAACCTGACCCCCCAATGCCCTCAGCAGCTCACCAGGACTCAGAAAAAGGAGCTTTGCTGATAAACATGCACAAGCAGACAGGACAAGGATGCATCACTGCTCATTCAAAACTAAAGGCAATGTTCCCCAAAGCCATCACCTCACTACCCCTTCCCCAAGAGCCGGTTCTGTCTAAAGAAACAAGCTTTCTCTCCACAGATACAGGAACTGGACTACTTCTAAATGCAGCCCTGTTAATCCTAAATGGACTACTCCTAAATGCAGCCCTGTTAGTGATTTGGGACATCAGATAAGGTGAGGCAGCAACTAGGACAGCATCCCTGGCAGGAAGAGAGAAAGGACAGATTTGCAGCATGGATCCAGGAGTAATTAGGACAGAAGAGTTCAGCGAGAGTCTTTTGGACATTGCTCCAAACTCGAGGTTGCCTTAAAGCCTGTGTTTACATAGGAAGGAGGGAGAGAAATAAGGAAAACAGCAGCAAAACCCTGCTTCTTGGAGACTCCCTTTACTTTCATACATGCCCCAGGTATACTGCCCTGCTGGGCAGACAGAGGGGCCAGGAAGCACTTACAAAGTGTGAGACAGACAGGGCTCACTTAAAATTCCCAGAAATGTTGCAATTTTGAAAGAGGAGTGGAAACGGCAATCAGGACCAAAAACCCAGAAGAGGGGCCATGGTGAGGGAGCAGGAGGAACCGGGAAAACTATGGTATGGGAATCTGCTAGCCAGGGGCTTCCCCTCACACCCTATCAGCCCAAACACACCCCACATACCCCCTGACACCATGCTGGCACCCTCACCTTGACAGTGCAGCCCCTGAAGAAAGGGAGGTGGCGGTCACGGAGTTCCGTCTGCCAGGAATCGGAGCACTTGGAGTTGCAGACGATGACAGACTCGTTGAAGCGGGGATTGAAGTGAAATGCCAGATCTCTTGAGCTGCAGCCAAGATTGATGCTGAAGCTGTAAAGGAGCATGAGGAAAATCATATGCATGGACAGGAGAGGGTTTTGGAAGACTTGAGATCCAACACACATCTCTGCACCCAGTTCCTCCATCAGTGTTGCAGGTGGCACAACAATGTGCTATTTTGTATCTGGCAACCTTGGAAAACCACCTTCCTCTATAGCCCACCTTCAACCCCAGCATGGCAAGGTGGTTTCTTTGTACTTACCCAACAGTATCAGCAGATATTTTGCCTTTCACCTTCAGGGTGTTCCCAGGCTTCATATTCAGGTTTAAGATTTCAATATTTCCCTAAGGGAGAGAAAAATAGTCTGTGGGGCTCCTTCAGCCATTCCTCCTGACTTGGCACTGCCATTTATAGGGTGCTGCTTGGGGGCATCCCAGCCAGGAGAACATAAATTGCTCTCAGCCGGTGCTCCTCTCATGACAAAACCCTCCACACTGCAAGTCTTGCATGAACTTCTCATTCAGTGAGAGAAGAATGGGCTGAGTGAAACCCGCAAGAGAGAAGAGACGTCCAAGAGAGAGAGGAAGTGAAAACTGGCTTGTCCTCAGCAGAATGAAGAGAAAGCAGGACAGCAGAGACACAAAGAGGGTTAAAGCAGAGGGGCACTGTCCAGGGTTTGGTGGAAAGCCAATGCTGCCCAAGAAATGCAAGTGGTGAGAGTGGCTATGACTCGCCAGTCTCACTCAGCCTTGCTGAGCTGAGGACCCTGGGTGACGGAGGACAGGAGCAGCAGCCCTTACAGGCATTTTCCTCAGAGGGCAGAGTAACCAGGCAGGGTGAGACCAGCAGTTTAGCTCAGAAATGCTTTGCACATAGGACCTTACAGCTCTGAACTTCCCAAGGCTTACACATTAACATGACTCCTGCTTCTAAAAAGCTCCAACAGCTGCTATTAAGCCGGAAGGCTTTGATCCCAGGAAAAAAAACTCCATATGTACACTTCTTACTAGGGATTCCAGCAAATAAAAGCAAATCCCAGCCTCCTTGGTGGTCTCCCAGGGGAAGGACTATGACACAGAGCCTTTAGGGGTGCTACTTTAGACATGAGATAGGACAAGCATCTTCCCACCTGGCCAGGGAGGTGTGACCACCATGCTCCCTTCTTTCCTGTGTGTAACAGCTCACCCAAAAGAACATCCCAGCTCCTTTCTTTTGTGGCAAGGGGCAGCTCCATAGTCCATACCAGCAGACAAAAATGGTCTCCGCCATCCTTCCCCACAGTGCTCCAAGGAAGGGCTCAAAGGGGCTTGGAAGAGAGGACAACCAACACATCCCCTCTAGATGGCTTCAGTTGTGGAGTGTCCTTTGCAGGAGTGACAGAGTGGCATCCCAGCTCCTTCCCTTCTTGTGGCTCTAGATTCAGCTGTGTGGATTGCAGTATCCATATGTGGCAGCTCTTTGCAACCTCCCATCCAAGCCCCGTTCAAACCCAAACCTTTTAGCCTGAGGAGCCACACACCAGGCCACATCAGGTTCAATAGTCCCATCCTCCCTAATCCTTAGATATAGGAATGTTGTCCTCACAGGAGAGTATCATCCCTGCTGTATTCTTCCCAGGTAAGAGCTCAGCAGACAGTGCCCCTGCTTTGTAAGACTCCAAAAGTCAAGTGGAAGAGGGAGACAAACGAGGGGGTCAAGGCTTGAGAGACCAGTCATCCCTCAGTCCCCCTCCCAAGCCCTACAGAGAGCAGCTGAGTGCTCCTGCTGCTGCACAGACAGCTGGCAGACAGCTTCTACCCTTCCCTAAAACACTCTGAAGAAAGGAGAAGTGCTGATAAGCACTCCTTCCCTGGAGTGTTTCCCACAAGCAAGGGGTCATAAACTCCAGCAGGCTTGGGAAATTTGTTTACTGTGGAGGACCTGAAACTGTTGGTGAAACCTCCAGGGCTGATCATGGAACCAGCAGGAACCAGTGCTGGGGAAGGTGTTTTCTGGCATTGGATCTCTTTCCCACCACACTGCTGTGTCCACACCCTCCTATCACACTGCTGCCCTGCAGCCATCCCAGGGATAATACAGAGCCCAGGGTCCCCTTCTCAAATATTGGAGCAAAACTGGATGGCTGGCTAAATTGCACAGTAACTCGCTTTTTATCTGGGGAGTAAGGATTTGCTGTCTGAACAGTATCCTGGGTATTCCAGTCTTAGTAAATATACCCATGAGAAGGGGGTCTTCTACAGACTTAGGCAAAAGCAAACAAGCAGTAATTGCTTATTTTCATTAAGTATAAACATATTAAACCAAGGCATATCTTTCCAACACAGTTTATAAATGTCATACTTGTTAACCTTCATTACTTGGTTAAATTTGTAAACAAAACTTAGAGATACATACACAAATTAAAACCACCAGAACATAGTACACAGAAAAGTTAAAATCTGCTGTGGATGCCTAAGGTTGGAATAGGAGAACTCTCAGCTCTAGGTGCAGTTTCTAATATGCAAGATTCCTATAACCTTGAAAAACCATAAAATGGAATTGCTCCGTTTCTGTCTAACCAGTGCACAGTGGGTTAACAGGAGGGCATTATCCATCTGGCAATAATCTCATGGATTTTTCCAGAACTATCTTTCACTTCCCAAGGGTAACACAGAAAACTTTAGCTCTGTCACCACCCTATCAATATCTGCAGCAGTGGGTACTGTTAATGGAATCAAGTCTTGGTTTAGATTTTGGCTTTGCTGTGCTGGTTTAAATTCAACAGACTCACCAGGGGGTTCAGGTGGCTTCCCAGAGGTTGCTCCAACCCATCCCATATGGCACCAATAATTCCCTATTTCCTGGGAGAATTCATACCAGGTAGGTATGTGAATTTGGTCTATATGTGGTTATGCCACTGCTGCAGTAATATTCATGGTGCCATCCATTTGTATGTGAATTTGGGCTTTTGAAACAAACATTTTCAGCCTATCTGGAAGGCCATAAAGGGGCAGAGTTAATAGGGTTGGACTGACAGGAGCTACCGTCAGGACTCGCCTTAATGGGTGTCTTTCATACATTGCTTAAACACACGCTGCCTTTTGCACAGAGGCTGCCAGATCTGAGAATCCTGTCATTTTAAACAGCAGCAGGCTTTCCTGTGTCCTCTGGGTCTATGCCCCCAGCCCAGCAGGCAGCTCAGGCAGTCAATGAGTAGTTATAGTTACCTGGGGTGGTAGTTAAAAATACGCTATGTCACCAGAATCTTTCTGCCTCTTCCTCACTCAGCAAGATCTGATCTCTGCCCATAAGGGAAACTTGTATTCAGTTTCACATTCCCCTGAACATCTAGAATGTTCTTCCAGCAACGTATCTTACTCTGCAGGGAACAGTAGTGTGAGTTTCTCCACCCCCCTCATCCACAGTTTCAGTTTCAATTAAAGGCTGAACTTTTTCTGCTTTTGGGGTAGCGTGAGAGTCTGCCTCTAAATCACCATCACTGTACCAAATGTCCCCATCCCATGTTTCAAGATCCTCACAATATACCACGCTGTGATATATTTAATAATATTATAAATTCTATTATTAATAGTATTTAATTAATATATTTAAAATAATTTAAGTAATTTATTAATATAATTTAATAATATATTGATTATATTATTAATAGTAATTTACCTAGATTTTTCTGCATGTTTTTCTCATATTTCAGCTGCAGAACTTTTTTTCTAATTGTTCATTTTTATTTAAAAGAATATCTACTAGTTTTTACGATTTCTCCTGTGTCCCTTTCTCAAAAGACAATGCTGTTCTAAGAACCTCATTTTCTGACTTCAAACTCATGAATTTTAGATCTGCAACCCTTTTCAGGTGGCAGGTTTGATTTCTGCACACAAGATAAACAAAAAACTGCACAAATAACTTACCTTCTTGTCTTTCATGGGTAACTTATCTTTTCCTCATCCCATTTTTCATTCAACCTGCAAACTAGTGATGTGGTCAGCTACTGCCTGTACATTATCACAATTACTTTATACTCATTCCAACTCTAGAGGAGAAAGGCAACTACCAAACTTCTCCAGGATAGAGTAAAACTTTAGCTTTACACTGGTCACCCTTGATAACCATTTTTCTTTCGGTCTCCTTCAGAAGGAGACAACCTGGGCACACCAGGCAGGAGAAAGATGTCACTCACAGAGGGACAGTAAAAGTAACAGTAAAGGCTTGGTCAATCTCTCACCAGGTGGGAAGAAGAGTCAAAGTTCGGAATTGTTGAACAGCACTTTGGGCCAGAAAATGGTGATGCCAATTAAAATACTACCATTTGCTGTTGAAGTCATCTGCCCAAATTAAGGTGGAAAGGAGACTAAATGCCAGTTCAACAATGCCAACTTTATTTTACAAAATTAATCTTATATGGAAAAGAGAAAGGCAGAGAGAAAGAGAGAGAGGGAGAAGAAGAGAGATAGGTCAAGTAGAAGGTGGTCACCTCCATGGATCTAGCAGCCTCGCGTTGGTCCTTCTGTGCCTTGGGCTTCTTGATGGTGGGGTCTCATCCAGTCCACTTTATTTCCTCAATAATTCTTATTCAGTCCCTTATTGGGTAAAAAGTAGAAGCAGAAGTGGCTTTCAGTTCCACATTAGCATGTGAGGCAAGAGTAGGCATGGTTCTGCCATCGCACACACTCAGATCTTAATTCAATGGTCACCAGGGGATTCTGGGGGTTGTGTGAGACAAGTACCTCAAAAATAAGTGTCCTATTTGTGACCCCACTTCTTGCACTTCCACAGTAGTTCACTTCTTATTCAAACACACCACAGTTGAACTTTGACCTGAACAGTTTTGATTCAGTTGAACTGAACCAAAACTGAAACCTTGTTCCTTCATGGGTTGTGCACAGGCACTTGTGACTTTTTTCTGCAACAAGTTCACCACCAAGCCCTTGTTTAAGGCATATACTGCAAATTACTAACCCTTTCCTTATAGCTGCCTGAGAGGGAGAGCAGTGTGTGTCTCCTACTGTGTCCAGTTCTGGGCTCCTCAGGACAAGGGAGCCATGGAGCTCCTGGAGCGGGTCCATCAGAGAGCTATGGAGGTGATGGAGGGACTGCAATGTCTCTTATGAGGAAAGGCTGAAGGAGCTGGGCCTGTTCAGCCTTGAGAAG